TACGAGTTTTGCACCTGAAAATTTTACTCACTTCGATACTACTCACATAGTTCAGACCGTTGCGGGCATCCGCGGGACATGGAGCGGGCAGTCGACCTACCTTGAGCCATGGATTCGCGTCTACACCGCGCGTCTCTTCGTCGTATCGTACACGTGAGCCTCGGTATCCGTCGCCTTCGGACTTCCTTTCGCATTCATTCCTCAAACAAGCTGTTATTTTTGATGTGAGTTCTATCCTAATTGATTGCATAGTGCCTTGTTTTTTCTCAGTTGGAGTATTCTTGATAACGTCTTTTCTGTAATATTCGTGGATGCGTGAATTGCGATGCAGTAAGCTGTTGAGGCTACCTTAGAACCTTGAACCCAACTTGCAGCAAAGTTTTGCCTAGTTCCGTCTTTATCCCATATACAATGTCCAAGATGTTCTTTTTTGTTTATACCAGTGATGGTGGTACGCCAGTATCTGCATTCAATATCGTGCGGTTGTTTTTGCAACAAAAAAGGAAATTACAAGCACAAAGGAGAGAAAGGACTGACAATTTCTGATCTCTCACGTATGCCCCTAACCTTTAATGCTGGACCATATTTAATAATTCGTCCTTTTCCGCTTGTTTATCACTTTTTGAGCCTCTTCTTTCGTTGCTAAAGGCACTGACTATTAGAATTTGAAGTTACGAAATCTTGTTGCAGTACACTAACGAGGCCCTCAGTGTTCAAGTCCCTTTGCACAATGTAGAGTCTGAAGCTTCAGAGGGTTGTTGCTGCTGGGTGTCACGCCTTTTAACATGGGTGTATCGAAGGTAATGATCCGGAACTAGAATCAGTGGCTCCCAGAATTGTAGAGTTTTCATTGTGAAAAACAAGTTTGCACCTCTAGAAATTGTATAGTCCAGTTTTGTTGAAGCCCACGGTTATGGGAATGGCAATCGAGCGGCCACGTTCTAGCTCACTTTGAATTACGCTTTTTGCAGAGAAACTGCAATGTTTGGGGTGCTTCCAATTGATGTTTTCCCTTTCTTCACCCGCAAATGCGGTTACACTCATTTCATGGCTTCTTCATCTCTGTTGTACTGTCTTGATTGTAGTAAAGCTTTAGAACTGAATATAGAAAAATTGCTCGTACTTAGCATCTGCATTCATGCAGTGTCACAAGGTCACGCATAGTCTTATTAATAGATCAGTGGGGACGCAGGTGTAGGAGAAACTATAGCGTCATTTGAAAGACTCTCAGTCCTTTGAAGTTTTGTCGGTGCTATCTATGCTTGTATTTCAATCTGATCAATTTCAGCGAAATGTGCAACTGAAAAAGTTCCTGGAAGGTGGACTTTGGACTCGTTTACGCAACGGAAATACGCCTCCGCGAACCTCTTCGCCACAATCTGAACCCGTACCAACAAGCAAGCCTGTACCCGAGAGAAAGTCGAAGACAACGAAACGAAAACGTGATGTAGGTTTTGATTGTTATTTTTTATTTCAATTTCAGTTTTTTGTGATTTTATACTAATTGATCCAATTTTGTGTGACCTTCATTTCGGTTTTTGAGATAGTGGTGAAAATAATGCTAAAAATCTTAGTGTTTTATTTATGACATCTTATGCGAATGCTTTCATATTTCAGTTTTGTCATCATAAAAAAA